CCGGCGCCGGAGCCGCCACCGCCCCCTAGCGGCCGGGAGGGCCGCCTCTGCGCGCATGCGCGGGGCCGGCAACCCTCCCCCGGCGCGCCAGAAGTCTCCTTGCGGGGGGTGAGGGGGGGTGAGGATGAGGGTTGAGGATTCGCCTCTTCCCCCGCCGTGATGTAGGCGAACACCTGCCCCCCGCAAACTCTCCCGACAAAAGCAGCCCGTGACCGAGCGTGCGAGCAGCCCCGGGGCCGGGCTACTTCACGGTTCGTCCCCTTCACGTTCAGCCTCTCCACGGTGCCCCCGGGCCTGGGCTGCGGGCGGCAGAATGAATGGGGCCACACCTGGGTGCAGGGGTTTTAAACAGCCCGCGGAAGAGAAGGGGGATGCTCCCAGGCAGCACCAGGGCTAGTTCGCAGAGCACAGCGTCAAGTCCGTTAAAAGAGTGTCATTAGCACCTGGAGCCGCGGTTCTCAAACGTTTTTGAACCGGACCCATTTGTAAACATTTGTGCCATACGGACCCAGTGCCCCTCGCTCCCGACCTGCTGTCCCCTGCCCACCAGGGTGTGGGGCAGGGGGGCCCCAAGCAGCCCCTCGCAGCCTGGAGCTCTGCAAGGGCAAAGCCACGGTTTTCTCCTTTAAAGGAAAATTCATTTTTTTAAGTTGGTGGATCCATTTTTAAAGCTTGTTCGTAACCCTTTATATATTCTGGCCACCCACTTTTGGGTTAGGACCCACAGGCTGAGAAACACTGGCCCAGGGAATGTGAGGCCCAGGAATTGGACAATGATGAGCCATGAAGTCAAGTGACTGCAGCACAACATTAGTGCTGCACCCCGAGATCTGTCAGTTGGGGATGGCTGGGTAAGGGGACAGTTGACAAATGACTAGGTAGTGAATTCTCTCAGTCTTTGAATCAAGACTGAGTACTTATTTGTAGGTGGTGTTGGTCAAACACATTATGAGACTCAGTAGAGGAATGAATATGAAATTTTGTGGCTTTACTAGGAGTTCAGATCACTCTGGCCTTAAAAGCTATAATAAGGAGATAAGAATATGCCATGGCTTCAATTGCGTTCCAGCATTCATCTACATACAGTCCCTTTCTATGATGTATGTGAGGTGTAGCTATACTGAAAGGCAGAAAGATAAATAGGAGCAGCTGCCTTGAAGGATCAATTCAACCATTTTAGTGTTGAATTCTGTATGTCGTGTCGGTAGTTGTGCAGAAGAATGTGTTCTTGCCATGCAAATTCTCAGCAGTCTAATGACAGGCATAATATTGGGCTCCATGGTTAGTGAGGGACAAGCAAAAGCAGTATTTCATAGTGAATCTTCTGGATGATGGTGAATTAGCATTTATGAAGTCTGAGGTGATTAGTGGGGTGTGGCTGCAGTGTTTGAATGTTGTTATTTCCTGTTTACTATGTCTGATATGAACAGGTTTATTACCTAAGTAATGAGACTTTGTTTTATAGTGTCTACCTGCTTTTTGATCATTTGTAGCATATGAAAGCATTTTTGGTGTTGGCATGTTAGAACATTAATTAAGTTGCGCGCTGATAAATGGGGGAGAAATACTAAGCAGAAGTTCGGTACAGGAGGTTCAGAAACACGTAAACTGTTCATTTTGGTAGCTGTTCCCATCTCTGCTGCCGAGGTTTCAATGCTTTCAGGCCAACATCATCTATCAGATATGCTTATTTGCAGCAGTGTTTGCTTTGTGCATGCTCCAAATGTGTCTGTTCTCATTTTCCAGTGTATCTCAGTACTGTGCACTCTGCTGTGTACTGAATATGTCCATTCTCAGGCTGTACCTCTACTGCAGTTACTTCTGTGATTTGCAATTCAGATAAACATACCTGAGCTAGCTTGGTTACTGCTAGCAGTGTAACTACAGCAGCAGAAAGCACACCCTTGGCTGACCACCCACATTTTTACCCTATACATGCAGGTTTCTCAGCCTGGGAGGAGTTCTGTGGTGCTGGAGCTTCATCTTTAGAAGCACCCAACTTAGCAGGAGCAACGCGTAGGGGGTGCACGTGGGTGCACGTACACACCCTGAGTGTGGCGGTGCACCCCCTGCGGGCAGTCACTGCTTGCCATGCCCCTTCGCCCCCCC